TAGTCAAGCCTGTTCATCACTACAATGCCCGATCCTTTATCCTACTTCAAAAGCATTACGTGCTCCATTTGTTTCAACTCCCTGATCGCCGTACAGTGTTCATTTTGCAGACAGCACGTCCGGCTTATCGGCGTACACAAGAACTGGTTCGCAATATCTACCACTTTCCCCCGAAACCAACCTGCATCTGCCATCGATCTTGACGTGAGGTCACTGAGCCACTCATTCAGGTACTCAAAATGAGCCTGCATGATGAGTTTGTCTAGAGGTTTTGGCGGCAGTCGGTATTTCATTCCAAGTGAGAGAACTTCCAATTGCATGCACGTGTACTGAACTGAGGATAGATTGTATACGTGCTTCAAGAAATCATTGAGAACAGAAGCATTAGTGGCTTTAGAAAGCTAACCCTGCAGACTGCGCACTGCTGTTGCTCTCGTGCGACGGAGAACTTCAGCGGGAAACAGCCCAAATTTCTGTCTACAAACCAACGACAATTCATTGAGCATGCATGCGAACGATGTCTGAGTCACGAGAAAAGACACGTCGATATGCGCCGACGCGAAGTTGGCCAGATTGGTGTTTATTGGCAACTTGTTCCTACACAAGCTCTAGGCAAGCTGCGACAAGAAAGAACCTCAAATAACTTCACTCGAGCACGTTCAACAGCTTACTTGCAACGCAGCAACAACAGTCGGTCTATCACCAAGCACTTTATGGCAGCCTGTCATCACGTGAATCCTAAAACCGTGTTCAACGTGTTATTGCGCAGCAAACCCTATAATATTGGCAATTAGTGAGGCGTTGCTGATTAAGGCCCGTCAACCGGTGCTATGTGCACAGGAACTCTTAAGGCAATCAGTTCGGTTGCAATGCTCTTGACCGTGACATTTTGATTGGTGTTGCTTATTTTCTATGTGTATGATCGTGTGTTTCTGCTCGTATTGTGGTTGCGACTGAAGAGAACAATTGAAATGTTGACATATCGCAATCTGTCTTCTTTCTGCTTTGACGAAATGGTTGAAGGGGACCAACTGTTTTACTACCGGCATGAGTTGATCGACTAAATATCAGCCGTTGTCAATGTTAGATACGGACGGAATCCATTATTTCGGCCAAGGTATTGTGAGAGCTTTTACAGGTGTTCTCTGCTCGGATAACTGGCTGTAGTAGTCTGATTGCCATTGCTTCGACAGTATCAGCAGTCCAGTAAATAAGTAGACATAGAGCCAAACGAAGCTATGGATATCAGCGGCTGACGGATGGAATCACCGCATCATTTCGATCATGACACCCTAGTTGAAGGTGAGCAACATGCTTCAGCTATTGTGCCGCAGGAAAAGAAAAAGTGATCATTTTTTGTTGTTTTGCACATGTCCTTTCTTCCTTTTCTATTGTTAAGTATTAAACATCTGTATCCAAACAAGTATGTACACAGATCTTACACTGCTTTCCATTGCGATCCATCACCTGAAGTGTTTCCAGCCATCGGCACCTTTCGTCCTTAGGTCTCCAACCAGGCGGACGTTGAATTCAACGGGAGCAATACATGAAGTTGACAATTTCATATGTTGCCTCCAGGTGGCTGCTTGACCACTGCATGGTCTCTTACAGTCCAGTCCTACACGAGCGGAAATGTCGCAATGGAGCAAACGCTCAGCTGCCATTCGCTGGAGGTGACGGAGGCATCTTAACTTGCGCAGTAAAACCAGCTTGTTGAAGAAAATAATCACATTTCCTTTTGGCACGATGTATGACCTCACGGTTGCAGAAACCTCGTTGCCACCACACGAGCTCTTCTCCCCTAGCACCCATTATGTAAGACCCAGAGCCGGCGCATCTCATCTGCGGGGACTGGCCATGACTCACTGCCATATAGCAACACCGCCCGAAAGTGGCATTGTAAACTCGACCGTTTAACAAGGGGAGACATCTCGACGGCAGCACAAGTGTTGCAGGTTGACAAACTCAGACCGCGCTTTTGTGATGCGAAGAGAAATTTCCTTGCTGATAACGCCACCAACAGACAGGCGGCTGCCCAGGTATACGAAGTTATCAACGTGTTCAAGCTGTGCACCTTCAAGAGTGAGCACGGGAACGGTCGAGTGGCCATTCTGGAGCAGCACTGCATTTCGACGGGACGGAGCACGTCCTGTACCTAGGTGCCTCAATTGGCAAATGGTTTAGAATGGCTTGCATACCCCGCGAATCGTCACTAAGTAGGGCGATCTCATCGGCGTAATCTAAGCTGGTTGTTCGCTTACCCTGTAGTAGTTGCAGTCCAAAATGTTAGTAACGCTCCAGAGCTTCAATTGCAAAAGTGAATAGGGACGGAGAAAACTGCATCGCTGTCTTACGTTGCTGTTGACAGTGAAGGACGAAGAAAGCTTGCCATAGACATTCACTCTGCCGGAGACGTGGAAGTAGAGTGCGCGTAGAATGGTAGTATACTTTTGCGGGACCCCGTTCTTTACCAACCAACGTCAGCGCAGGTCGATCAACCGAGCCGAATGCAACACATATGTCTAAGAATGCAGCAATGATAGGCATCTGGTAGTGGTGGCGTGGTTCTAGGATTTGGCGGAGCGTGAAGATCTGCTCCACGCACGCCCAGCCAGGACGGAAGTCAACTTGTTCATCCCGGTACTGTGATTCACGAATCGGGGATAGTCTACGAAGTAGAATGATTGCCAATAGCTTGGAGGCAACCGTAATGAGACTGATGCCCCAGTGATGAGTACCTAAGATGCAAGCACCCTTAAAAATCGGGACAGTAACCGATTCGCCCACGAGGAAACTTCGGGAGGGGACAACAGGCGCTTCCTGATCCCTTTGGGGTTGCGTTTTGGTACGGTGTAAACTATTTTGATTGCGTCCTCGGTCCGAGCTGTATGTCTAGGATTAAACAGATGTTAATGGATATAGTTGTGGACATTCTTGACTGTACCATGTTGTAAAGAGGCAGGACAGTGTTCTGCAGACACCTGGTCGTGTGTCCGCAGTACCTAGCACCACAGATGCAGGTGAACTCGATTCCGCGCGAGCGGTGTTTTTCTTCTGGCTTTTCAATCTGAAAGATTACGGTACCGAAGATAGCTAAACTGGAATTCATCGTTTTGACCTTTTTTCGCCGTGTGGTAGATTGGATATCACGCAGTTTCTTCCGATGCGGCCATGCGCTAGCGACTAGAACTCACCGTGATAATCACTCGCTCGGCATGCGTAGGACTTGGCCCAGCCATCTCAGTTGGCGCAGTAGTACCAGCTTCTCGTCTAATGTGGTCGTTGCAAACGTGGTTTTCATACCACACACGAACTATCCTTCGCAAACAACCATTGTCTAAGGCCGAAATCCGACGCATTTCATTTATACATATCGGTGCGCACACAGGCATTGTACACTGCTGGAGGAAAATTCAGAGTTGTCCGACGTCTTGAGGTGACACACTGGCGAACGCATTTGATAAGGAAGATTTTTAAAGTAGTTGAATAGAGGCGTTAGCTAGCCTGTTAGTATCCAACGTACGGTGCTTTGGTTTCGAGGAACTTCCAAGGTACATCCAGATGTCCACACAGACCAGAGCGTGATCTGAGTAAAGTATGCTAAATTGATCAGCATTCCCTTACACTGCCCCGTCATGTGAAATGTGATTGTATGTATTGTATTGGATTCCCCTAAGTCGCCGTTTGTGTGCAACCCGTTTAATGGCTTCATCTAAAGTTGATTCACAAAGTAGCGCTGGATGCTGTTTGTGGTTTCTGCTTATGACTGCAGTTTTGATACTGTCAAGGACACGTTCTACGACGAGCTGAACACGCTGGTTCTCAGCGTAACCAATTCAGATGTCCTTGCAGAGAATATGTGTGCGCAACTAGGTCGTATGGGCTCTTCGAAAATGTGTGAGCATTTTGCGTACCCTATACTCAAACACCGCAGGCCGCGTCAAGGTCCATTCTGACTTGTCGGATATCTTTCCGACAATGAGGGAGGTTCGTCAGGGTTTCCCGATTTCCCCATTTTGTTTGATTTTGTCGTGCACTGTATCATGGAGTTTTCCTTTGTGGGATCTCACGATGTAGGCGTTGAGGTGCTGTCTGGTGAGAAGCTAGTTTATCTTGTTTATGCGGACGATATGGTCTCGCTGTTTAACAATGTTGGGACGGCTCAGTCAACCATGAGTAAACTCTCCATGGTGGTCCCATCACTTGGCATGCGCTTCGCACCTTTACAGTGCAAAATGATGTTGCAAGACGACGCACCACTTGACGACCCATTGACCTTTGATAACGGTGAACTCGAGCTAGTTGATCAATTCACTTACCTTGGCAGCAGCATCACCGACGACGGGCTCATAACCACTGAAGTCAGTTCACGTATTGCAAAAGTTAGAACTACCTTCTTGAGTCTGCGACATTTATGGCCTCAGAGGGGTTCTTCTCTCGGTCTGAAAGGCCGCGTTTACTAGGCCACGGCCAGGACCGTCATACTCCAAGGTAGTGAAACTCGGCCTCTTTTGTATGAGGATCTGAGGCGCTATCAAGTCCTTGATCATTGCTGCCTGCGAAACATTGCTCGTATCGGATAGCACCAGTGTGTCCGAAACGATGATGTGGATAAGAGAGCACTATGCGGTGATAATCAGGCTATTTCCTCAGAATAACAGGGAGCACAGTATAAGTCGCATTGGCTTGGATACATAGTACGTATTCCCGGTCATCGTTTGCCAAGGAGGGCCTTACTTTGTTTACCAGATGTAGGACGGCGCAAGACTCGAGGTGGGCTTTGTACCCTAGAAGTGCACAGCTTTCCTCCTGCATTGACCCTTAATGGGCATCAGCTAGAAGTCGTAGCAAAATTCAGCTACCTAGGCAGTTGTATCAGCGCCCATGGAATCGAAGACTAGGTCGGAAACCGTATAACAAAAGTTCGAGGCGCTTTTGCTAACTTTCACCACCCATGGCGCCGGCGCGACATTACTCTCTCTCTCTCTCTCTTTTTATAGGTGACTGCGGTGAGGGAACTCTGTGAGGAATTGGGGTTCGAACGACAGGTATTCGAAAACTTCGTTGCTCTCTCAGACGAGCTCGTATACCCCCTGTGCGCTTGGGAAGCAACTTATTCCTGCGGTGTAACAGTCAAGTCACATCATCTTGTCATTTACTATGCTGCTCGCTGGCCCAGTTTTTTAGATGGCTATGTTGTGTAAGTTGCGTTAACATTTGATACGTAATTGTTTTAGATGGACTCTCTTAGAGTACAGTTGTTATTTTGCATCGTTCTGGAGTACGCAGCTGATGTTTTCGTTTACCTAGTGTTTCATACTCCTGGCACAAACTTAGACCGACGATTTGATTTAAATTAATGAACAGTGAATTTATGTAGTGTAATGTAATGTAATATCAACAGCCTAGCAACTAGACATAGAGCCAACAAAGCCATGGAGATAAGCAGATAATGGACCGTCATCGCGTCATAATCATCGTGGCATGATAGTTGAAGGTGAGCAACACACTTCAGCTAATGTGCTGCAGGAAGAAGGGAACATTTTGACAAAAATTAGAACAAAACATTCTTAGTTTTTCACACGCCGATTTTGCTCTTTTTTGTCATTTTCAATGTTTGAAGTATTAAACATGTGAATCAATGCAATACTGTACACAATTCTTCCATTGATTCCGGTTGCGGGCCATGTCTTCAAGAGTGCTAAGCCATTGGCACTCCTCATCTTTTGGTCCCCATCCTGGAAGACGTACGGGTCCAACAGCGGCTAGACACGACGTCAGCGATTTCATGTGCTGCCGCCAAGTGGAAGGCTGACCACCACGTGGTCGCTTCCAACCAGGTCCTTGACGAGCGAATAGAGCGCGACGCGGTAGACGCTCAGGTGCTATGCGTAGGACGTGACCGAGCAATCTTAACTGGCGCAACAAAACCAGGTTGTTGAAGGGAATACTCGCATTCCCCAAGATGCGACGTCGAACGTCATTACTATTAACTCGATGTTGCCACCAAACACGAGCGATCCTCTTTAAGCAACCGTTATCGAACGCAGAAAGACGACGCATGTCTTCCACGCGAATCGGCCAAGACTCGCTCCCATACAACAATACTGAGCAAACTGATGCGCTGTAAACGCGGCCCTTTAACGAGAATGAGACGTCGCGACGACGCCACAAGTGCCTCAGATTGACAAATGCTGATCGAGCTTTAGCGATACGAAGAGAAACGTCTTTGTTGATAGTGCCGTCAGCAGAAACACAGCTCCCAAGGTAGACGAAACTATCTACCTGTTCAAGTTGTGCACCTTCGAGATTGAGCACAGGAGCAGGTGAAAGCCAATCATTGAGCAGTACTTTACACTTCGATGGGGCGTAGCTCATGCCATACTTAGATGCTTCAACCGCCAAACGATCCGGAATGAGGATCGTCACCAAGTAAGGCGATATCATCAGCATAATCTAAGTCGGTCGCGCGCTCACCCGGTAGAAGCTCTAGGCCAAAATGTTGCAAACCTTATAGAGCATTCCACAGAACGTCTTCGATTGCGAAGTTGAAAAGGAATGGGGACATAGGGCAGCCCTGTCGCACACCGCTACTGACAGCTAATGGAGAGAAATACTTGCCGTAGACCCTCACTCTGACGGAGGTATGAAGGTAAAGTGCTCGTAAGATGGCGATATATTTCCCTGGCACCCCCTTCTTTAGTAAGCAACGCCATAAAGCAGGTGGATTAACGGAGTCAAAAGCGGCACGTATCTCTAGGAATGCAACGATAGTGGGCCTGTGATAAATGTGGCGATGTTCGAGGAGCTGGCGGAATGTGAAGATTTGATTCACGCATCCGCGGCCAGGACGGAAACCAGCTTGTTCTTCACAGTAGTATGATTCACGTACTGGGGATAGTCTGCGAAGCAGAATGGATGCCAATAGCTTGGAGGCAACTGAAATAAGACTGATCCCGCGATGATTTACACATGAAGTACGAGCGACTTTCTTGAAAATCGGGACAATAACTGATTCGCCCCAAGAGGAAGGTACTTTCTCTTCATGCCAAGTTTTTGCGAACAGCGCGGTCAGCTGGTTAATGATCGCCATACCGCCGTACTTGAACAGCCCCGGAGGAAGTCCGTCTGAGCCGGCAGCCTTGAAGCGCTTCAAGCGTCGAATCTCGAGCCAGACTTCCGCTTCGCTGGGTGGATTCAGAGGGACGATCCAAGGTGGACAAAAAGGTGTGCTGCATGTACTGATGGATGGTGGAGGCCATTTGAGCTGCAAGTGAAAGTGCTCGGCCCAGCGGTCCAAACGCCTCTGTTGGTTGGTGATCAGAGACTCATCCACCTCACAAATGACGTCACTGACACCAGGCTTCCTGAGGCCAGTGGACCGAAGGAGTTGGAAGAGCCTGCGAGTGTTACCAGAGGGGGCAGCAGTCTCCATCTCTGAAGCACGCTCAGACCACCATGTCTCGCGATCCTTGCGTAGGCTTTGCTTGAGCAGCCGGTTGGCAGAACGGCGCCGCTCGTTGTAATCTGATTCCGCGGGGATATCTTTGCGGCTTTCGAACAGCTCCAGAGAACGAGCAGAGATCCAAGCCTTCAAAGGGCGTCGAGTTAGGCCGCAGCATGACTGTCCCGAAATGGTCATCGCTTTTTGTATACAAGTCCAGTGTTGTTCCACTTCTTGCGGTGGATTACAACTGAGTGCATATGCCAGCGAAGACTGATAGCTCGCCTGGACAGAGGAATCAGCTAATCTGTTTACATCAATCTTGCGGTGCTTCGTGTTTCGGGATCCTCCAAAACACATAGATTTTCGCACAGACCAGAGCGTGATCTGAGTCAACGAAAGTGGACCAAAAGGACCTGCAGTCCAGTACGCTGCCGCGCCATCTGAAGCTAATTGCAATGTGATCCATTTGAGACCACGGTTGTGTTGTAGAAGGGGGATGCCACGTGGCGGAACGCTTCTTCGTACGCCTGAAGTTAGTGCTCGAAAGGAACAGACCATTGTCCTCGCACAATGGGAGAAGTCTGCCTCCGTTATCAGAGCGGTTCTCATCGAGCGCGTGATGACCACCAAGGTGACGTTCGTATGGTAACAGACGGCCAACTCGTGCATTAAAATCCCCAGCAAGGTTACCGACATCCGACTTTTAGCATTAGTCAAGAGCTGTTGTAGATCACGGTAGAATTCGTCCTTGACCGAGTCGCCACTGCAGTCAGTTGGAGCGTACACGGAGATCACAAACAAGTTGCGTCTCTCTTCGCGGTGCGTGTTGATTCTACATGAACCCCGAAGCCGAACTGCACATAGTGGGCTGTTAATCGGGAACCAGTCCCGTAGTGCCTCCTCGGCCTTGCCACTTAGTACTATACCTACACCAGCCAAACCCACTGAATTTATACGGATTAAAAAGCGTTCCTTTACAAGTCCCTTTGGGTAGTTGGCGGGAATATCGAAATAACAATAATGGTAATACTAATAATAGTGAAACAGTTAGTACTTTAACTGTTTACTAAGGACTTAAGGTTTGCTCCGCTGTAGTCCTGCAATCCACTTAGATTTACAGCACCCACAGTTAACATCAGATAAATCCATGGTGAATTCTAAGTGTAGCATAGAGATGTAGTGCTAAGTGACCAAGTGTAAGTGGATGAGTGCAACATCCAACCGTCTTTTAACTACTGTTAGTGTCGGTGCAGAGACGACTGATTCTGGGAGAGCATTCCACGGGTGACAGACACGAATAGAAACGAAATTTCTGCGGCACTCCAAACGACTATACTGTTCTACGAGTTTCATTGAGTGACCCCTCAGGGTTGTATTGATGCTGAGTCGCAGTAAAGGGCGGCACACATGATGTGGGTCTCGCACAATCAAGTATGCTATAATCAGGTCGCCTCGTAGTCTGCGATAGCTTCCGCTGAATATCCCTAATCGTTGTAGCCTCTCCTGGTATGAAAGATTGCGCATTCCAATTACGTTCTTAGATGCCCGACGTTGTGGCTGCTCCAGTGCGTTAAAGTCATGTTTCATCCATGGATGCCAAGCTTGAATTGGGTATTCGACATGGGGGCGGGCATACGCACTGAGCATTTGTCGAAATGTGGAGCTGTTTATTTTTTCAAACGCCTTTCGCAACAGCCCGACGTGTTGGTTTCCAGTCTTCGAGGCCTTTTCCGATTGCCTGGAGCAACCCAAGTCATCTTGAACCAGGACACCCAAGTCACATTCGACACTTGATTGTTGCAGTACATTCGTCCCGAGCCGATATGCGTAGCTGCTGTGATATCGGATGGAAAGTACCTTGCATTTACTGACGTTCAAATGCAGTAAATTTTGGGTTGACCATTGATAAACCGTATCTAAGTCTCTAAAGCAGATGCTTGTCGGCGTTCGCCTGGCTCCCGCGCCAAATTTTGGTATCGTTCGCAGGCATTAGGAAGTTTGAAGCGATTCCCTGTGCGACGTCATTAATAAACACCAAAATCAAACATGGACCTAGAACTGAGCCTTGCGGCACATCACACTCGAGTTGTATGGGGTCCGATAAAGAGCTCCGAACTCTGACCATTAATTGCCATTAAAGTAGAAAGTTAGCAATCCAGCTTAAAAGGGGATCACCGATCCCGTAATGCTGGGGCTTGCAAAATAGTATCCGATGGTCTAGACGATCGAAAGCCTCTGAAAAATCGGTTGATCACAGCAACGCCTTCCCCAGCGTCAGCTGCCTCGGTCCAAGTGCTACGTGCGATTAGCAAATTCGTTGTGCATGACCGCTGCCGACAGAAGCGTGATGATGTTACAGTTTTCCAGGTAACACAACAGTGCATCGGCAACTATGGATTCCATGACCTTAGAGAGTATAGGAAGAAGGGATACTGGGTGGTAGTTGGATGGCTCAGTTATGCTTCTACCTTTGTGAATCGGGGTTATTATTCCAAGCTTCCACATAGCGGGAACTTGATTCTAGTCTAAGCAGCGCTGGTAAAACCGAGCCAAAGGTCCTACCATTTGGCTTGCTGCTTCTTCTAGTGCCTCCGAACGAATAGCATCGACACCCGGCGATTTGTTCTTGCATAGAGTGGTCAGCTTCGGTGGTAAAGGAGATGTGAGTGAGTCCAGGTGGCGGGGCGATAAAGCTGCAGGATCTCCTGATAGTAATACCCTCTGGAAGGTGAGGGCATGTTTTCATCCGCAGC